AATAAAATGCAGGAATAAATAAAATAAACCTTGCCAATTCTAGAATCATCAGGATAAAAACAATAAAAAATTGAAGCTCACATAACTCCATAACATCAAACTGCGTACTTCAGTGACATGATATGATATTACTTTTTTTTCTTTTCTGTCCTAATCATCCTTGAATTGGCGAAACATTACCAAATTATTTTATGCTTCACCTGCATCTTAGAGACTTAAAGCTATGCGATTAGGATTATTCCAATTATAACCTAACATTAAATTCTACACCTTGGTGAAGGTATCCTGATGATCGGAAATCATATAACTATTATTCCAAGCAAGTAAAACAAAAACTGGCCACGTTTAGATCGCAATCCTATAATTCCTATCTTTCCTCACTATCTGCAAGAGATAACTCCATCTGGAATGTAACTCAAAAAATCCTTAAATTATAATCCATTTCCCACCCCCTCCGCCGTGATGATGGTTCCTGGGCTTCGTCAGATGAGAATAGAGCAGAAGAGTTTGCTAAACATCTATCGTACACATTCACTCCTCATCCTGAACTCCATCCCTCCCATACTGCTGAAGTTAAAGAATTCCTCTCTTCACCGATTCCTCTCTCCTTACCTCCTACAGCCGTCAACCCCTCTGAGGTCAAATTCCTTTTAAAGAACCTAAAACCTCGCAAATCTCCAGGACACGATCTCCTTACTTCCCAGATCCTCAGACAACTTCCCAAAAAAGCAATTATATTCCTTACATACCTATTCAACTGTATCCTCCGCCATCCCCCTCGAAGGTTGAAACGGCAGTGGCCTCGAGATCTTTTGTAAATATGCCTTTGGAGTCCTGGCAATGGCCAGCTTCTCCACTCATGTCCTGAGCGTCTTTCTGTGGCTCTAGTGCCCTCTTTCAGTCTCCATTGGCTTCTAATACTAGTGATGCGGCTGGAAAAGTGGTGCTGGGATCTTCCGGAGTCTTGCTTTGCCTTCCACGTGTGGGGGAAAAAGCCTGGCTCGGAGATTCTTGGGCGAATGTACATATTGTATATAGGTATGATTGTGTTTAGAAGTTTTTATTTTATTTTATTTGTTTATTTTATTTTTTAATTTTTATTTAACTTCTTCTCCAGTATTATTTATTTACTTCTTATATTTATATTTATTTCTTTATTATTTGTATATATTGTATGAATGAGAACTTTTAGCCCTAATACTTATAGCCCTCCAGCAGTGGCTGATTGTATTATTATTCAATAAACAGATTAAAAAAAAAAACACCTTGGTGAGTTTTTTTTATTTTTTAACACTCTTAGAATCACAATGATAATTTTTTTTTCTGTTTCCATTACAGTTCTTGTAGATCTTTGCCGCGTTAATCAGCCTTCTCCATCTCTGACTACGGAAATAAACCCAGTTTATAACTCTATCCTTCCTAAACTACGGAATGTACTTCCTTATCTATACTTCTATATATTAATAATTGGTATAACCAATATACTTTTGCATTTAACTCCTCTAATTTTTCATTCGGGTTTAGTTTCTCGTTTCTAAAAAAAAAATACAGTAAAATCTCTACAGTGATAAGCTAATAAGTAACTGATTGTTAATAAGATTGTTGCGAGACTTGCTCAAGACCAAGACCATGACCAAGACTCGTCTCGGTCTCGCATTTGGGCAACACTACTGTCAATATTAAGAATGAGAGTAAACATGTTATCGTCTTGAGTAAACATGAATTGCGTCTTCGATAATATAACCTTTTTTTTTTTTGTTAGCATTATAGGCCTTGTACATCTTTTACCGACGTAACAAGCCTATGCATCACTGCCTTTCGTAAGCAATTTCTTTTATTTATTTCCAGTTATCATCATACAGCTGAATTGAGTCTTTGTTGATTAAATTAATTCTTCTGCTTTTTGGCTCTCTCTTGATCATTTTCCTACTATTGTGGCATTCTTTGTTGTATAAAAGCTTCCATACGGAATGTGCCGAGTTTCATGTCATGTTAATCTCATTGCCTTCATAACATGATTGGCCAATTTATATAAACAGCTCTTTATTTATCTATCTCGTTGACGTGTTACTACTCTGATCCCAAAACGCTCCGGTTATCGTGCGGAGGATTTTCATCTCAATTTTTTCAATACTTCGTTCTAAGGTATTGGTTAGTGTCCAGATCTTGAAGCAGTATATCAGAATTTGGTTAATCATTACATTTCACGCAATTAATTTAAGATTGTAGGTTTCTGGTTGACTGTATTGAATAGGAGAGAAAGATGGTTGGGGTGTTCAGTCAAATTGATATAGTGAAAAATAAATAATTTTATTTATTTTTACATTCGCCGACGCTTCGGCCCGAAGTTTAGGCCTTCATCAGGGCTGCTGTACAAGAAGTAAAGTTAGACCTTACTTCTGACTTTACTTCTTGTACAGCAGCCCTGACGATGTCCTGAACTTCGGGCCGAAAAGTCGGCAAATGAAAAAAATAAATAAAATTATTCATTTTTTACAATTTCAATTTGACTGAACACCCCAACCATCATTCTCTTCAATCAATTTAAGATTTCTTGAGATTTTTCTGGATTTCAAAATCTTCACCATTCCTTTATTTGCGTCTGTCATTTTTCCGACTGAAGATTATTCATTGAAGGTACATTGAAGTTATTTTAGAGGCAAGTTATTTGAATTAGTCTACTCTGGAGAACGATTTATCTTATTATCATAATGATAATAAATGTATTAAATATTCTTTATTTGTTATTAACCGATAAAATGTATAGTAATGAAAATCGGAATAGAATGTATGATTTTTTTATTATTTTTTATTTTATTGCTTGTTGTTCCTGACTAACTCTGTACATAACATATACAGGTTTGATTAATATTGTTTTAAAATATTTCTCATATCTGATTTAATTATGATTACAAATATATTTAATTTTATCTGACACTTATAACTAATCATCTGATGATAATTAAATAAGATATGATACAAGTAAAGTGTTAATTTATTCGCCTTAGAGATTTGCTCAGAGCACAATCTACATTTACTAATTGCCGCCGCTGCGCAACTTTCCTCGACTAATTGAGCAATATCAAAGTCCTCTCCCTCATCTCTGATGGGCTGACACCATAATCTTAACCTTAACCTTAATCTTAGAAATAACTTGACAGTGCTGCGAATCTCTCTAAAAGTTAATGCTGTTCAATCAGAAAATGTTTCAAAATTATGGTATCCTGAAATAAATCAGAACTTATAATATTATTGCATTATTTAATCCTTATTCTCTGGATTATTGGGCTTATCCCGCCCTAATGAAATGTCAAATACCTGCTTTACAAAAGATGATAAAGATTTATAACTAATTTTGATTGTTTTACTAAAAATTTTCAGCTATCACGACTAAATATATATTTTAAAAACTATAGGAAATATTTTTTTTTTAAATATTTCTTAATGATATTTACAACTGTATTAAAGAAATGCATTTAGTAAATTTGAACATATGGATATAATGAAGTGAAAACACTTGTTGAGTAACTACCCAATGGTAGAATTATATATGTCTACATTAGGAGATAACGGGACCATCGTATTTTAAGACACCTCGGAGGGTTATCAGGAATTGAAGAGGAAGCAAGGTTAGAAACGAGAGGGTTGGGATGATTCTGAAGTTTATTATGGAAGGATTGGGGGAGGTCTGAAACTTAAGAAATATTAAGGTCATTATGGACGGATTTATTTGTAAGAAAGTAGGGAGCTTTGAGAATTTTACGAAGGATTTTGGATTGTAAGGATTGGATACGAGAAGAATTCGATGGTTTAGTGCAGACCCATAGCTTAACTCCGTAAGTCCAAATAGGCCTTATTATAGTCATGTATATGAGTCGTGATAGTTTATAATGAATTGGAAGTTTAGAGCGTTTGTCTAGTAAGCGCTGAAATAATCGAAAACATCGAGCGGTTTCTTCTCGTTTCAGTCTGGTATGAGGAATAATAACCTACGAATATGTACTGCTATATGGATGATCTTGTCACTACGAATTTTAAATGCTGATTTATATCACTATGTATGTAATTTTTAAAATTTATAAAAGAGAGAATATTTCATATACTAGTACCTATATCACAGAGATATAATTCTGAGAGGGGCAGAATGAATGGAAGGAGAGTTCAGTTGTGGCACGCATATGAGAAACGATAAGTGATATATATTTTTTTTTCTCTGCAAGTCTCAATCAGCAGGTGTCATTAATTTGACAATCGGCAGATGTGCTGTTGGAGTGAATTAAGCATTTGGCATTTTATGGATGAGGAAGGATGTTGTCCACCACCACCTCTTCCATGTCTTTATTTTCTCCATTATTTAAGAAAAGGAACTCCTTTTCAATCCTATTCTGATGGGCATATCGTAAATGAGTTGTTATGTCTCTTGTGGTTTAATATGAAATGAGAATATCAGTCTTGGTCATGGTATTGGTCTTGCGCAAGATTAGTAGCTATTTTGCATTAATTTTTATTTTTAAAAAATTGAATTTTTTAGTCCTGGTCTCGGTCTTGCAAAGTGCAAGATCAAGACCTATTTCGGGAAACACTACTTGGAATAAAGGTTAGTTAATTCGTACTTCTGGATAGGTCTAGGGAATGATATTTATTTATTTTCAGCCTTCAGTTTGGCTTTGAATATAACAAAAAATAATTTAAGAAAAAGAAAAATATACACACAAAAATATCATTTATTTCATTAATAAATTCCAAAAGGACCCTGTACATCAAATATTGAACATTTAAAAACTACTAATAAACAGTCAACACTTATAAAGAACGATAAAATATTATTTCTCATCACAAAATGCTTGAATTGTAATACATATTTACAGGAATATACAAGTCATTAGAAATATATAGTACACGTATTCGGGATATATATTAAGTTCAATAAATGAAACATTTACTTATAATCTAAAACATTTTTTAGTTTTGATAAGTATTTAACATTTATCTTGAAGAAGTTAGCGGATTGCAGACAGGACAGCAGATAGCAGTGTAAGTAGTCCGAGATTAGCTGCAGTTGCTGCAGATCCATGCTGCATAGCGGCCGGTGTCTCTCCTAATAACAAATATATTATATATTAATAATAAGAAATATGAGGGAAAGTAAAAAATTAAAGGGAAATTTGAATTTCCCACCGAATCACGTGTGTGGTACCACTGATAGTTCTGCTTTAACTCTTAACGTCTATAGTTGTTCATTAAAAGCATTGTTTGGTTGTTAGCTACTTGTGTTTAAAAGTCTGTTCAAAGCGAGTTCTCCATTATCTAATTGCATCACGGAAGGAGTACGAGCAGTGACAAGTTCTCCCAACTTAGAAGGTGTGAAAGAAGAAGCGATTATTTGACGAATGCAGCAGCAATAGTGAGGGTTTTGTCTGATTGGAAGCTAGATACAGAAATGGATTGATCAGTTCAAAAGTAGTGGAATTTCTCTATGCAATGAACAGCGCAAATGAAACGTCTGCAGCAAAAGTTGTGATGACGATATTCTGGGATATGGAAGGTCCAATTTTGGTTAACTTTAAACCTAAAGGCCGAACCATAAGTTGTGAAAATTGTGGGATAATGCGTAGTAAAAAATCAATTCCAAAAGACGTGGTAAGCTTTCAGAAGGCGTGCCATTACTTCAGGACAGTGCTTGTCCTTATACTGCCAAAAGCACCTTATTATTTTCAATTGTCAGCTGCTTGGCAATGAAAATAAGCGATTTTCATCTTTTTGGCCCATTAAAAGAACAGTTGCGAGTAAATCATTACCGATCTGATTAAGAGATATTGATGCAGTGCACGGGCGAATCTACGGAGGGGGGCTTTGGGGCTGATGTTCCCCTCTCCCCCCTTGGTGGTAAAATATAACCATGTTTTATGGAAAAAAATATTGAAAAATTATCTCTTAAAGTATTATTGTTCGTGTAATTACATTTAAAAGGACTTTAGGAATCACTTAAACACCATTTCATACAGGTAGTTAGTTTCTTTCTCTTTTTTTCCAAAGTAATTATCGTTATTTTTATGAAAAAACACTTTCGGGCTGAAGACCCCTCCCCCCCCCCCAAAAAAAAAAATTAAATCCTGGATCCGCAAGTGATGCGGCGCATAATTTTCTGAACATCCTGGAAGTAATTCAAATGTCTGTTAGAAGATCCTCCAAGGGCATAAATTTATCTCTTTTATGTTATGTACAATATTATATTATAGATTACATATATATATATTTGTGCGCTGACGACTAAAAGCGTCTTCAGTTTTCTGGCTTTGCACTAACAAAATACTAAAAAACATGATATGTTTGAAACTATTAAAACCAAACATACATTACTTCAGCTTTGTAACTATCCTCTGGTTTTCAAATATTGGCTGTTCGTTAATTAAAGTTACTATAAACTGTATATACAGATTTTACATATATTCCCTAATATAATTTTTTAAAATGGTATATTAATTTTTCAAATAACTTTAAGGATGAATTATTATTTTTTTTGATGTTAATTTATTAAATTTTTATTTACAAGTCATATGACGAAGCTTGAGAATAATATGCAAAATATAAAAATAAAATTTAGAGGGGTTAATAAGTATGGAAAACGGAAATATAATTTCATTTTTATTTTTGGCATCTAAATATTATACTAAACTTTTTTAAATAAGATTTTATGTTATACAACGATATATCTGATTACTTTCTTGCAAAACTAAAGGACTAAATTTCACGAAAGCTATTTTAAATAAAATAGTGGCCGTAAGATCATCAAATGTTTTTAGAGAAAAAAAACAACATACATATAATGAAATTTAATAAGAAAATTTTAAGCACATTTGAAAACGTTACATTATAACTACACAAATTATTTGTCTTGAGTAATAATTGTTTCAAGTAGAATACAGTTTTAGTAATGATATTAAGACAAAAAAAAAAGAAATTTATTAATTTAGGGAGAATTATTAAAATTACCAGGTAATTGAGAAAATGCGTAACCGACACAGACCAATTATTTAAATCATTTCTGACTGAGCCAAATTATCAGATGAATAATTTAAGATGAAAGGTAGCTGGGGGAAATTTTCCATGAAGTTCAGTAATTTCATTAATATTTCCTAAAGCCGCAATTACACCAACGATTACAGAAGAAGCAGTGCTAAAAGAACAGTGGGGATATTAATATTTCCTTAGGTCTTTTCGTCCTGTTCATTAGAGCCCTGGGGCAATCCCGTGTCCAATTCCCGACAAGATTTCCGAGTATCGTTTATTTTTTAATAGCTAAGTCGAGGGTCCTGTTAGTGGTTTCTAATGTTCAATAAATGACTGTTCGTTATAGGAGAATAGGAATGAAAATTGTAACGACATCCTGTAATGTTGTAATTATTCGATATATATTTTTTTTTATCTGTGGATAAAATTTAAAGATATATATAAGGAAATATAAAGTTGAAGAATAATTTTGAACACTCTAATTTCAGGAACGACCAGCCCAAAATAAAAATTTTATTACGTTAGTAAGAATGATTTTAGCAGTGTCATACGTGTGCATAGTAAGGCGAATAATAAATCCAGAAGGAAAAAAAAACATTAGCACTTGATATTTAATTTTTACTAATCTTATTTATATATTCAATATGAAGCAAAAAAAAAAAGGAAATACATAATAAACAAAAATTAAGTAAAATGTGAGTATATATAATAATAATGATACTTTATTTATTCTGGGACGAGTCACTTTATAATAATTCAGAATGACAGAAATGTGGGCTTAGGAGCCTCAAAGATAAATAAAAAAATGCTGAGTAATGAAATAGTCATAAAAAAAAAAATGTAAGTTACTTTCTTAACTTAAATAAGTTAACAATAAAAAATTGAAAATAAAATAAAAATAATGAAGAACGATCTAATAACTTATATACAAATTTATAGTGGTATCTATTTACAATTGTATGGAGACTGGATGGATAAGAAATGATTGAACAGCCGGGATTTAAAGGTAGAAAGGGTATTGGATTGACGGATGTGGAAAGGGATGTAGTTCCATAAGGATGAGGATCGGTTAATGAACGATCTGTCGAAAGCAGATCTGTTCGGTGGGCCCTTATATGTAAATCAGAAGAAGTGGAACGAGTATTGCGGGAGTGAACAGAGGATTTGAATTGAAGGAGCTCGGAGATGTATGAAGGAGGTGGGATTGGATGACTTGAAAGAGAAAGGATGCCAGGAAATACTTACGATGGTAGGAAGGATAAAGCCACTTCAACTCTGCATAAAACGGGAAACAGAGGCGTCCCTTGGGATCCCGAAGATGAATCGTACAAAGCAATTTATCAAACGTTTTAATTTCACCTCGAGATCCTCAGAGGCTCCCTGATATGCGGTAGAGCAATAGTCAAAGTGGGGAAAAATTAAGGAAGTTACTAGGAGCCTACGGGTTTCAAGGGGAAATAGGTGAGTAATTTAGACGTTTTAAGGTGGAAATGGTATGGCGTTCTATAAATAAATTTATTTATTTTGCTTGCAATTTACTACTAAATTTACATACATACATTGGCATATATAATTAATTAATACAATGATTATCATAAAGTTAAAACGGTATAGTAGATCTCATATTTCAATTATCCTTCAATAGATTGATTGTCGTTCGCCTGGTGGCCAAACTGAAACTTTTGCTGCTTACGCTATTTCTTTTGCGAGATAACAGACTTATATTATTTATAATAGTTTTTCTAACTGACATTGTTACAACCTATTATCCTATTCAAGGTCTTTCCTCTAAAGAGAAATCAGTTCACTTATAGTTTGTTATTGTCTACGGGGAAAGGCGGTGCATACCAGGCCACAATTCCTGATATACCCACATAGAAGGATTTTTCCTTTAATACCTATTTTATGGTTTTCGTAAATTTACGTTACCTTTACTTAAAAAGAAATAGTTCATTTAATTAGAAGAAACCATTTATTTGACATTAGTTGCAATGTTGTCTTTATAGGTTTATTTAAGCAACAAGTAGGCCCGTGCAAATTTTATTGTTCTTATACAGTTTATTGTTCAGTGATGAAATTCCAAATTAATAAGAAAATAAAATAATGCAACGTATCGTATGATAGAAATATCAATTGTTACTTTCTCGATCAATATAATCGAAAAAGGAAACAAAAATTAATTTAAAACTTTCCTGCATCTTGGAAAAATGCTATATTATATCCGTTGCTAATAACTGGAAAACAAGGAAATAAACCTGAGTATTATATTCCAACAAGTTTGTTGCCTCATATTTCCAAAGTTTTCGAAAATGTATTCTTAAAATATCTTCAAAACCTTTGCCAGGAATATTCCGTAATATCTGACCAACAAACGGGATTTCGACCTCACTACACGCCTTCTTAAATTTGGCCAGCTTATCTGAATTCATAAACAGAAGAAGAATGAAATTCTATGATTCTTTAGAAAGTTTAAGCAATGGAGAATTCAATACGATAATATTTCCGCCGGCTCCTTGGTGATGGCAAAATATATATGCAAGGTAGATTTTAAGTTAGTCCTAAGAAAATTATCATAGTAGATATGAGTTGATTTATATGGTTTTTTTTTTTCCTTTTGTTGGAAATTTAGTAATTTTTTGTATAATCATGGACATATCCAGGGAAATGTGTGTACTTTTTTAGTTATTCGCAAATAATGTTTCTTTTCTTTCATAACTTTTTTGCCTAAATTTTCGGGATGATTGGACTATTTTTCCAGCCTGAAGGAAAAGGAAACCTTCAAAATTGGTGGCTCAATCTTGGGATTTGGTGAAGAATAACCAATTATGTGGCTTATCGACAAGAAACACCTTTGATATACAATATAAACTCCTCTCTCGATCATATAGAGACTTGAAGTCGACGAAATGAGGCATGAATTCCATAACAGTCTTACAATTAACGTTAGGTTGTGTGAATGCGAAACCTTTGCCTTGCATTATATCGAAAATAGTGTGTATTTGGGCTTAAGGGTCCGATAGTTCCGAAGGAACTATCCGGGTCTTGGTGTACGCATCAAAATCTTCAAAGCCCAATTTGTTGTGTATCGATCTACAGACTTGTCGTTTTGAAGCCTAGCAAAATGTTCATATCGACAAAAGCGGAGAATACGATTCGATAACCCTTCGTGAAATTATGAATCCAACGGTACCCCATTTATTGTATTTGATCATGACAGGAGCTTCTAATTGATACAAAAACGATTTTGAGCCTAACTGTAATAATATATGTGGTGATACATTTTTCATAGGAAAAAATAACTAAACAAATCGTTCACAATGAAGTACTGTAAGTTTTGTTCTGTAAAACTTCAATTTTAGTCATTTAGATTTATAAAGCAACATGGCATCTTAAGGCTCACCTGTAATCACTGCAACAGATACCCAAGTCATGGTGTCCTCACCCAGAGAGCAGCTGTAATTACCGGAATCTGTGGAACCTACGTTGGCGATGTAGAGTTGACTCTTAGCTCCGTCTGGAAGGATATCTGTCTTCACGCTGTAACACCCGTCAAGGAAAAAATTATTCATGAATTATATGGATTTTATAGTTATAAATATTTAAAAATATATTTGTGTGGTTGAGCCACAGCCCTAAAATATATATATATTTTTTAAATGAAATTTACAACTGTATTACATAGAAAATACAATAAGTAAATGTGACATTGGTAACATGACATGTACAACATGAAGAGAAACTACCCATTGGTAGAACTCAAATTAAAGTTCTATATTAGAAGGTCCCGACGCCATCTTCTTTTGAGACGCCTCGGAGGGTTATCAGGGATCGAGGAGGAAGCAAGGTTTGAAACGAGAGGATTCGGATGGTTCTGCAGTTTGTTATGGAAGGATAGGTATCTGGATTGGGCTAAATCGGAAACATATGGAACATTAAGGTCTTTATGGATGATTTTATTTGTGACAATTTTGGATTGTAAGGATTGGATACGAGAGGAATTCAATGGTTTAGTGGAGCCCCAAAGCTCAATTCCGTAAGTCCAAATAGGTCTTATTATTGTCATATATATGAGTCGTTTGTAATTGATTGAAAGCTTAGAGCGTTTGTCTAGTAAGTTCTGCAGTAGTTGAAAACGTCGGGCGGTTTCTAGTCGTTTCAGTCTGGTATGGGGGTGCCCTAAAATATAAAATACACTTTTAGTTTCTCTACTGAATCAGGAAGGTGAGGTTTATCATAAGAGAGTATATACATCTTTTGAAAAAAAAAAAAAAAAATATATATATATATATATATATATATATATATATATATATATATATATATATATATATATATATAAGTTAAGCGTCTCCGGGCTTTAAAAATAAAAAAAAAGAAGGAAAGAGGAACGAGAAACAATACTCACGGCTTCTGAATAAACACTGCTTTATTCGTCCAATAATCTGCCTTATATACAATCGCTATGTTTATTTACATTACAAGATGGTATTAAGGCTGATATCGCCAGTCTCCGGTCTTTATCTCCCCCCCACCAGTTTACGAATAGGATTTTCGGAAACTTATAAATTCCCAGATCGGAGCCACCGGTATCAGCCTTAACCCTTTACAATTATTTGTACCAGTATAAACTTAAAGTACACCAAACCTCACTTCCACTCCGCTGGAACGAGAAATAAATAAAAAGAAATAAACCACAGAAAGTAAACACACAACGTCTTATTAACAATGGAACAGAACTCTTAATCCTATAAAAATTACAATCACCTCTATTATGCTGCCATATCTTTATTTACAAGAACAACAAAAATAATAAAAAAAAATGACATCATCAACAGTAATAATAATAAAAAAAACATATTTTTTTATAATACGCGATAAGGGTACTACGAATCAATTGGTTTCTGTACCGGTTCTAACATTGGGAGCTTCAATTGTTCAATATGAACAGTTCTCCTCTTCTTAGGTTCGTTAATGCTTTCAATGGTTACCAGATTATGCTCCCTAATAGCAACCACTCTGAATGGGCCCTCGTACCGTAACAATTGTTTCCCTCTGTTGGTTCCAATTCTACGATACACTATTGTTCCGATTTTTAATTCTCCCATTCGGTCACGTACCTGCACATTCTGCCGCGCTACCCGCTTCTCCTTTTCCCGCTGAATTCTCCCCGCTACCTTCCCCCACGTCTTTCCTACCTCTACCCTAGTATTCTGGATTTGCTCTACGAGATGTTCATTGGTCGTTGTTTCCCCCCAATCTCTCCTTGGCCTGCGCATCCCGAATAGTATTTCCACAGGTGAAAACCCCGTTACGGAGTGGATCGAATGGTTGTAAGCTGTTACGGCTTTCTTCATCGCAACATCCGGCTCCAACCCTTTCTCTCCCTGATATACACGGATGTGGTCACTCAACGTGCTGTGCAAGCGTTCGATTCCTCCTCTACTCTTAGGGTGTCCCGGTGTGTTATAATGCCACACAACCTCTAACCTTTTCACCTCCTCCCTAATCGCGGTATTGTCGAATTCTCTACCACCGTCTGATGTGATCCTCTCGGGAACTCCGTAAAACTGTATCCAGATTTGTAGGGCTTCCGCAACTGCATTGGCAGACTTGTCCATGACCTGATGTGCCATAGCTACTTTACTAAAGGTGTCGATGATCGTGACCCACTTGAACCCTTTCCAGGTGAATGTATCGATCTGGAGGTCTTGTAGCGGCATATTCCCTGTAGGTGTCTCTTCCTGAACTCCTCTGGGGGGGTGTCGATCATACTTTGTGCGCATACATACCTCGCATTTCCCGATGATTCCTTGGATAGATTTTTTCATTCCCCACCAGAAATACTTTCGCCGTAATGCCTGCAACGTCTCGTTGACGCCTCGGTGGTTGGTCTTCCCCTGGTGGTATGCCAATGTAATTGCTTGTTGCTGCTCCTCATCCTGTACGGTTTCCACTGCATACTTGCACCGGATGATCGTTCTATCCATGCCTATCCGCTCGGATCTCCACATCCGCTTTATTTTCTCCCATACCGTGTTGTTCCCAACATAGAGATGGTGTGTCTTTCCCGGTTCCGTGGCGTCCTTCAGTGCCGTACGGATTTGCTCCTCGCTCACCCCGGGTTGCGACCAAATGACGCGAATCCTACTTTTCCCGTATCTTCGGTAATCTATTTTCATGATCCCTGTTGTCCTGGTTTTCCAGATTACCTGTCTATGCTTGTCGTTGATGATTTCGTCTATTTCCTCCATCGCCTCTGGTCTTTCCTCCGCTGAGCTATCTTCTTCCGGGGACCCCTCCCTGTCCTCTATACTGACGGTATCATCTGCCCCTTCACCCTCAGGAGTCCATTCCCTCAAGAATTGGCGCACGTCCCGCGATGGACCTCCTCCGTCCTCTTCTACCGCGTTGATCATGATGGCCCTAGAGAGCCAGTCTGCCACCACGTTTTCCTTTCCCGGCTTATACACCACCTCCATGTTGTACTGACTAAGGAATTCTTTCCATCTCGTGACCCTCGCAGAGGTTTCCTTAAGTTTTCCTACCCACTGAAGGGGTTTGTGATCGGTGTGGACTCGAAACTTCCTCCCAAATATATATGGCCTGAAATGGTCGATGGCCCACACTATCGCGAGTAGCTCCCTCTCTAACGCGCTGTACCGTGATTCCGCGCTCGTAAGTCGTCGGCTCGCGTATGCTATCGGACGTTCACCCTCACTTCTGCCCTGGGATAAAACGGCCCCCAACGCGTATTCGCTCGCATCGGTGGTGACGTTGAACTGCTTCTCAAAATCCGGGAACGCCAATACGGGTTCTGCCTGCAACCTATCCATGCATTTCCGAATATTATTTTCCATTTCCGGTGTCACCACGATCCTCGCGCCTTTCTTCAGCAAGTTATTGATAGGTACCAAGTATTCTGCCATCTCAGGTACGAATCTCCTATAATAATTCAGCGTCCCGAGAAGCCTACGAATCCCTTTAACGTCCCGTGGCACCGCCATTCGTGTGATAGCCTCCACCTTTGCCGCATCCGGTCTGACCCCCTCGCTAGAAATAGTGTGGCCTAAAAAATTGATTCGCGTTTGTCCCAACAGGGACTTCTCACTTGACAGTTTCAGCCCGAATTGTCGCAGCCTTTCGAATACCGACCTCAAATGCCCCACGTGTTCGGCTTCCGTTCTGCTAAAAATCAGCAGGTCGTCCATGTATACTTGACATACGGAGTCGTCGATCCCCCTCAGAAATTCGTCCATCAGGCGTTGAAACGTTATGGGCGCATTCTTCAGACCAAACGGCATTCTGGTGAATTCGTAATGCCCCCTTTCGAATGTAAACGCCGTCTTATGTTGGTCCTTCGGGTGCATCCGTATTTGGTGGTATCCCGCCTTGAGGTCCAACGTGCTAAACACCACGGCCCCACTCAACCTATCAAGTATATCTTCGAATCTAGGGATCGGGTACTTTTCGTCTACCGTGTTGTCGTTCAACCTACGATAGTCCACTACCACTCTGTATTTTTCCTTATTATCCCCCGGCGCTGCCTTCTTTTTCACTGCCCACAGGGGACTATTAAATGGCGAGGTGCTATCGACTATGATCCCTTGCTCCTTCAGGCTTTCCAATTCCTCCCGAATATGCTGCCTCATCGCCTGCGGGTATCTCCTTTCCTTTACGTAGGTCACCCTATCTTGCTTCAGTGGAACTTCGTGTACCGTCTTCCCTGTTACCCCCAATACCTCGCCCTCCCTGAAGAAAATATCTACGAACTCCGCTTGTAACGCCTTTCTCCAGTCCTCCACCCTGTTCACCGCTCCTATCCGCACCCTTCTTTCTCTCGCGACCCCTATACATCCAAATTTCCTCTTTCCCAGCCTGATACTCCAAGCTCCTCTACGGTTTCTAATGCTTACCCCTACCTGTCCTAACAGATCACACCCTATTATGACTTGGTACTCCCGCGCCATGCTCTCTACCACATGCACCCTTAGCTCCCCCTTTTTCCCTGCCCACCGGTCAAGCGTAATTGACGCTTCCCCTTCTACTTTACAGGGACCACCCAGAGTGATTAGCTGGCAGCCACAGTTTTGTATCCGGAGTACCCTCTCGCTCCCGCACACTCTCCCCAACGCCCCCCGAGTCAAGATAGTACTCGAGCTCCCTGTGTCCACGAGACACTTCACTCCCCCATCTACTTCAATAATCGGCAACCAGCATGGCTTACCTCTAATATTGTTGCAGGTTGCTGTGCGGTCGCCTCTCTGCTGACACCCTTCTCAGATGCCACCTCGCTTCCTCCTTACCGCCGTCGCTCGTCGTTGCTCGCTCCGTTGGCTGCTCCTGCCTCCTTCGCCTCCACTGCTGGCTGGCTCGTCAGTCTCCGTTCCCGACGTCCCCGACTCCTCGGTTGCCTCTTCCGAAGATCCGTCTCTCTGCTGCATCCTAGCTCGTTTTTTCAACTTTTGAGCGTTCACCTCCATTGGCTCGTCTAGAGGTCTCTCTCTCCTGCGAAACATGTACGGGCACTGTCTGGCAATATGCCCTTCAGTCCCGCACTCGAAACATCTAG